ATTCGCCACTCTTGTTATGTCTCCATGAGTAAAAATCTTCACTCTCTACAACCGGTTTGATCTTCTTTATTCTTATGATATCAGCCGGCAGAAAGTGATACTCTAGAGCCTCTTCATCCCAATCTCTCTTATCTCTATCAATCAGCTCTGAAATTCTAAGGTCTGGGTTGAAATAATTATTTCTCCTCCAAGGAGGCCTCATTAGCCCATCTTCTAACCAAGCATCAATCCAAACCTTAAAAGACTTTCCATTCCCAATATTCTTCACCAACCCTTGAACAAGCAGTTCTCTACCATGCAAAATGCTTCTCCAAGCATAAGATGGTCTGGCTCCTAAGGTTGCATTTAAGAAATCAGAGTACGGGAAGTATCTACTCTTCATTAATTGAGAGAACAAACACTCAGGGTTCTGTAGAATTCTCCAAGCCTGCTTAGCTAGAAGAGCCTGATTAAATGTTTCTATGTCTCTAAAGCCCAATCCACCTTACTTCTTAGAAAGACATAGCTTCTCCCAACTTAGCCAGTGAATTTTCCTAGCATGTTCTTCATTACTCCACCAAAAAGCTGCCATTGCACTTGCTAGATTTTCACAAGTAGTTTTGGGAAGTTTGAAACATGACATCACAAACACTGGCATTGCAAGAGCCACAGACTTCAGCAGAACCTCTTTACCTCCCTGGGACAGAAACCGAGTAAACCAACCTGATAGCTTTGATTTGAGTCTATCTTTTATGTAACTCAGGAGTTCCACCTTAGACCCACTAAAACACTCTGGCATACCTAAGTAGGTTCCTCCTCCACCCTCTTTGAAGATACCCATCTTATTTTGAATCTCTGTCTTCGCCAGAGTATTTACCCTCGACCCAAAAGTTATGGACGACTTGGTTAGGTTGATCGATTGCCCAGTAGCCTCTCCATATTTGAGTAAAGTATCTTGCAGAAAACTACATTGATCCAAAGATGCCTTACACATAAAAAGGCTGTCATCCGCAAACAGCAAATGATGAATTTCCGGCCCTTCTTCAATGAATTTAATCCCTTGCAGTTTTCCTTCTACTTGGCCTTTATTAAGCAAGTGGGTTAAACCTTCAGTACACAACACAAATAGAAAAGGAGATAAGGGGTCTCCTTGTCTCAAACCTCTTTGTGGAGTAATCATACCAAAAGGCTGGTCGTTTATGAGAACCGAGAAAGTTACAGAACTCACACAAGCCATGATCCAATCAACCCATCTGTTATGGAACCCCATCGCCACCAACAGAGCTCTCAAATAACTCCATTCCACTCTATCGTAAGCTTTAGACATATATGTCTTAACTGCCATAAACTGGGAAGAGATGTCCAGATGAGAATTCAGACTGTGAACCGCTTCATGAACAACTAAAATGTTGTCTGAAATCAATCTTTCAGACACAAATGCAGACTGGTTAATAGCTACAATCTGAGGGAGCCATATCTGAATTCTACTAACCAGGATCTTTGAGATAGCCTTATACAAAACAGAGCATAAGCTTATCGGTCTAAGATCACTCATTTCCAAAGGATGATGAATTTTAGGAATCAAACATAAATGAGTGTAATTCCATTCCTTTGGAAAGATCCCTAACTCAAAGAACCCTAGAATTTCCTTGGTCACTTGTTCTCCAACAATGTTCCAATACTTCTGGAAGAAGAGAGCAGTCATGACATCTGGACCCGGAGCACTAGAAGCCTTAATGGAGAAAACCGCCTCTTTTACTTCCTCTTCAGAGACCTTCTCAATCAAACCATTATTCATTTCCTCAGAGATTTTGGCTGGAAATTCATCAAACCAGTGATGAAAACTTTGAGGGTTGGATGACTTGAATAGATTATTGAAATACTCAACTGCTACTTCCCCTTTAGCCGCTTCCGATTTCTTGATAATCCCATTAGCATCTTTGAGTTGATCAATCCTTTTTCTA